CGAATTTGAGATTAGGTGAAGTCTAAATAAAAAAAGATGACGTTATGAAGAAATAGAATGAAAAATAGCAATCTCTGGCCGTGAATAGTGCCTTGGAGGAGGTCCTCAACAAACAAGTAGCTGGTGCACTAAAACTTGTCTTAAAGATACGCTTCAGACTGTTTGTATTCATCAAACACACAACAACAATCTAGACCTCGGTGAACTATGTTTACCGTAAAAATAGTTTGTGCCCATGGCTTATTCCTAGCGAGATATCGAAGTTTTAGTGACTTTTCTCTGTAGAATCCTACTTTTCCAGCACAACCATATTTTCGAATTTCGACAACAAACTTTGTCCACATAAAGACCTCAGCTAGACTAGCTTACAAAAAAAATTTCAGAACTTTTCAACAAAGTCTCTTCGAGATATGAAGATGTCAAAAAACGTATGCTGTATACACTATGTATGGAAAAAAGCCTATATCTTAGAATCTTCATATCTGGAAGAGACTTTGTTGAAAAGTTCTGAAATTGTTTTTGCAAGCTAGTCTAGCTGAGGTCTTTATGTGGACAAAGTTTCATGTCAAAATTCGAAAATATGATTGTGCTGGAAAAGTAGGATTCTACAGAGAAAAGTCACTAAAACTTCGATATCTCGCTAGGAATGAGCCATGGGCACGAACTATTTTTACGGTAAACATAGTTCACCGAGGTCTACAAGAAGCGCTAAGTCCAGACTCAAAAGCGCTCCAACACTTGGGAATGTTCCCTCGTTAGTGTGTGTTAAGGTGAACTTGTGTTGTGTCACCATTCTCTTCTGCATATTTGCTTAAAAGAAAATAGTAAAATATTTTTGAGTATTTTAAGTATTTCTTACCTGAAGCTCATAATCGAAAGGTATTTTGATTTTATAATGTATGATATGGTACAGTAGTATGATGATATTGTTCTTTTAGAATTGTCATTATTGATTATATATACAAAAATAATTTAATAAATACGAATAGCAATACAATCAAAATTTGAATTAAAAAACATATCAATTTCAAATTGATATTCGTAAAAAAAGATCATTTGCTATGGAAAAATGATTAAAGAAATACTTTTGGTGAATGTATATGAGAAAGAACAGATCGGTGTATTATTGTTGAAATGATTACTGATATAGGCAAATATGAAACTTTCTTTTATCGAGAACTGAATGGTTATGATCATATTACTCGTACATTTAGTTCTATTGGAAATGATCTTAGTCAAATAATATATGTGCAAGAATGTGTACAACAAAATGACTTATCTGAATTATGGTTTGATACTCTATTATCACAAATAGTATTGATTAAGATATTTTTACCAATAGCTGATGCTATGAGTTTTATTGCTAGTAAATCGATTGTACATGGTGATTTAGGTTGTCGAAATGGTCTTGTATTTAGGTTAGATCCATTAGAACCAACAATAATTTAATTAAAATAACTGATTTTAGTCTTGGATCTTCATTCATTTAGTATGCCATCTATGTTTGAGAATTCACCTATTATTTCAAAACGACATTGTGCATTAGAAATACTTTAAAGTAATGATTAATGGAATTATATGGAAAAATTTGATGTTTATTCAATGAATGTTTTAATGTGGAAAGCTTTATCAAATAGTGAAATTTCTTATTCATATATTGTTGATGATAATCAAGTTGTCTAAGTCAAATTAGATAATGAAAAATTGAATCGACAACGTATTTGTGATTGTCAACTTTGGTCTCTTATGGAATCTTGTTGAGAAGATGAGCAAGATTGCTGACCAAATTTTGATGAAACAAAAGATAAATTATCTGTTATTAAACCTTCTGAAGTCTCAGATACTCGACAACCTATTTCATTTATATGAGTAAGAAATTTGTCCTCATATTAAATTCAATAGGTCTTATCAATTAATATTTATTCAAATTCTTTTTCGAGTATGATGAAATATTGAATTATAATTAATTGAAAGAGTGATTCAATATTTTCTTGAAATATCTCACTTTTATGTAAACTGATCATTTGTTATGTTACTCCTACGATGACCGACAAGCTACAGCTTTAAATTTATTGTTGATGTGTAAAGAAACAGTTTAATAGATGGCAAATTTCGTAAAATCTATGAAGCTCAATGGCTATCAAGACGAGAAGAATCTATTTTTTTAATGGAAATGAGTGAAGTATTACTCTACAAAGAACTCAACAACCATCGACATATTATCAACACATTTGGATTTATTGAAAATAATTTTAGATCGATTATGTTACTGCCAGAGTGAGCACCTCATGAGTGTGGGCGTAGCGGTGGCATAATAAAAAATAAAACACATACCTATGCGCACACCTACATTCTCAAGAATTACTAAAAAACAATGTATTCGAATTAATGTCAATGGTACTCATTGCTATTTTCTTAGAAATTATTGATGCAATGATTTACATTATTGGCAAAGGCATGATACACGGTGACTTATATTGTTTGAACGTTCTTGTCTTTCAAATGGATTCATCTAAACCAAAAAAAAACTTTATTAAACTAATAGCAAATTTTGCTTTAGCACCGCCAAATGAATCATTGTTACTTGAGGATAGATAATTAATTATTTCCGTGGGATGTTGTGCGCTTGAGATTCTTCGAAGTGCAGGTCGGCTAAATTATTCTGAATCATCCGATATTTATTCAATGGGAGTATTAATGTTGGAAATATGTTCACAAGAAAAGCTTGCTTATGATTATTCAATACCTAACAAAGAACTTCGAAAGCAAAAATTAAATGATGAAATATTACTTAGATCCTGGATGTGCGGCAGACATATCTAGTCCATTATTAAAAAGTGTTGAGATAATGAACCAACATCACAAGATACTTTTAAAGTTTTGAAAAAGCAACTTTCTAGGATTAATACTGAGTATGTAAAGCAAATGTACACACGTGAATTACTCTCTATTTCAAAATATTTTATCTTCCATGTGTTGTTGAATCATTTTTGATAGAAATATCATAGAGATCTATGGTTTTCATTCTTCAAAAGAAAAGGCCTGGGATCGTCGAATTATATCGAAATTTAATCGGTCACCATTTAGTAAATCATATGAGTTCTTGATGGAGATTTTTGACAACAATATTCTTAAGTTTTTTTTCTTTTGTGATTTAGACTTTTAATGAAATTAATCGATAGAAAAAACTCTTTTCTTTCTATTCAAACAAGGATGACCTTCCCAGATTGTTTCGTTTGAGACTTATAAGACATTTTCTGAAACCTTGATTTCAGCCAATCGATTTGTCATCAATAAAGGAAAGCATATAGGCAAATGGTCTGACATTGCTATTCTAATATTTCGGAAATGTCGAAAACTTCATTAAATGAAGGCTGATGGCAGAATTTCAGAATCATTGAGATTAACAATGTTAAATGATTTTGAATCGAAAAACAAATATCAGCGTTCGGTTCATTATGTTGAATAACCTTTGTTTAGATGCTTTTCCCATTGGTCAAAGTCGATTCGCTAAAATCACAGTCCCAAGAAATGTCCTATAAGTCTTCAGTGAAATAAGCTAGGAATATCAACCTTGTCCAGATTGAAAGAAAATAATTGCTTCTATGGATTTGTTTAGCTAAGAGTCTACATCTAAAGGAGAATATGTTTGGAATATTGTTTTCGAAAATCTCTACCAAGAATTTCCCTGTTTAGTAAATTGATAGTCAATCAAATTTCGATGTACTGCGATGTTTTAACTGGAAAAAAAGTCTGATGATGATATGTTTACTGAAATATCAATCGGGCATGTTTTACTCTTATTCGATTAATATTTACTTCTGTTCTTACTTCGATATTCAATATATTTTAGATATATTTTATTGTTTCAGTGGCAATTGTAGTTATTTGAAATCTTCAATATGTTCGCACTCAATGATAATAAACCTATTTGGATACGAGATGATGAACATGGATTTCTTCTTGGTAAAATAATCGATATTGGCTCAGATAATGTTACTGTTCAATTGATTAACAACAGAACGGTTCGGAAAAAAAAGAATCGAAAATCAAAAGAAAAATCGGTTTTTCTTTTTCATTTTTGTTTTATTAGACAAAAGTTGTACCATACGATTCAATATTTCAAGCAGAAGAATATGATAAAGATGTTGATGATAATTGTTTGTATTTATTTCTTTTTCGAAATTATTACATTAACTTGTTTTGTTTTTTAATCTAAGGTGCACTTATGTATCTTAATGAGGCAACGCTATTAAACAATATTCGTCGTCGTTATAAAAAAGATTTAATTTATGTATGAAAAAAAAAACAAGATTTTTTTTTTAAGTCAAATTTATCTTTTAGACTTATGTCGCAAATATTTTAATTGCAATTAATCCTTATAAACAATTATCTAGTCTGTATTCCATTGATGCTATCAAACGTTATAATGGAAAATCACTTGGTATTATGCCACCACATGTTTATGCAATTGGTAAATTATGTAGAATTTTAACAACAAAAAACACTTGAATAAAGAATGTAAATCATGACTTTGTCCAATATATGAGATGAAAGAATATTACGAGTTGACGACTTCTTGACAGGAAACAATACTTTTTTAAAATATTACCTTCAAAAAAGTTAATGAAGCTTGCTGTTCAGATGATGTGTAATTTAACCATTGACTGAATTGATACATCTATCTGGTAGAGTCCGATGAGTTCAAAATTTTCGGACATGAACTCGACTGGCTCTATTATCTGACGGTATTATCATGTAAAATGGTCAGATTCTTGTCTTACTGATATGATGATATCGAATGTCATTTCATTCTATGAAAATCAAAGGATATTTCAGAGAAATTTTCTTCATTCACTTTATCTTCAAAGAAAAACAATAAATCATCAAAGAGAAATAAAATATTTTTCAAAGCTAATTGAAAACTAAATAATTAATAATTGTAGAACTGAAAACTTTCTATTCTATATAATAAAAGTATGAGATATGAGTTTTAGTTAAGTTTTTTTTATTCAAATCAAATAGCATGAAGTCATTAAATATATATATATAAAGAACATCGAACTTATGTAACATGTTGAAACAAAATTAAATTAATTGAAAACTTGTTTAACGTTATAATATGTATATTGTTATTATATATTTAAGGTGATAAAGCATATCGGGATATGCGTCGTGTCAAACAAAGTCAATCAATAATAATATCAGGCGAATCTGGAGCGGGTTCGAAGGAAAACTTATTTGATTAATATATTTATTTCATTGAATTTAGGTAAAACTGAATCAGCTAAATATGTTTTACGATATTTAACTGAATCATACGGCGTACATAATGGTCAAATTGAAGATCGTATAAATGAATGTAAATAAATCAAAAAACAGTCTTGTTACTCAATGTTTTGTTTTTTTTATTTAGCCAATCCATTATTAGAAGCTTTCGGCAATGGTAAACAAAGGACTAGTTGCAATAAGGCCGTTTTTTAATTGTCCACGATATTTTTGGCTTTTATCTATCTGAGAGGTGTTAAGGAACTACTAGAAGTATTCTTCATGACTTACTTTTGCATCATTTCAAATTGACATTTTTGCTCCTATAATTCCCCCAAGAATCAAAAAAAAAACTGTTTCTCAAAAATGCTCAGAAGCATATCGTTTATATACTGCTAAACTGCCTGGAAAAGTATTTTCCCATATATTAGCTCATCTCTATATGAAAACATTGTTTTTCTTCCTTCTAAAATATGCTGAAATGTGCAAAAATGTTTACTCTACTATACTGATTCAGAGTATAGTCTCAATTGTATTTAGAAAAATGAACAAAATGCTAAAAATTGCTAAACACTATAGAAACAGCTGTTTTTTGCTAAATTTATGCTTCAAATCACTTCAAATTTCAATTTCAATTCCATATTCAAATTCAGTGAAAAACCTACATCTAATGACATACTTTGTATAATTTTTATGAACAACTTTTTCTCTTCGAAAAACCATTTTGAAATCTTCTACGAGAAGAACTAAAAAGTCGAATGTCTAAAACTTAGTACAAACGCTACATTACAGAATCATTTGAGGTTTCTATCAATTTTTATTTCTATTTCGAAACTTTCTGCTAGACTTCGAAGTAGTTTTTAGCCACTCGACTTTTCAGCTTTTATCGCGGGGACCCCAGGATAGTTTTTGGAGAAAACAAATGTTGTTCATAAAAACTATACAAAGTATATCATTAAATGCAGTTGTTTTCTTTTACTGAATGTGAATATAGAATTGAAATTGAAATTCGAAGTGATTGGGAACATAAATTTAGCAAAAAACAGCTGTTTCTACAATTTTTTGCCACCTTTAGCATTTTTTTCATTTTTATAAATATTTTTAAGACCATACTCTGAATCAGTATAGTAGAGTAAACGTTTTTGCACGTTTCAACATATTTTACAAGGAAGAAAAAAAAC